CTAATTTATTTTTTATTTTTAACCACACACTCATAGCCCCGCACTAGGGCGACTCTGTGTCACGGGTGCCATGGACACACATATAGACAACCACAAATTACACTCAAACTCGCGAGAGAAATAAGTGTAGGCCATACAAATATTTCTCCCGGCCCGGGAATCGAACCCGGGATCTCTGTGTGGCAGACCAGCAAGATAATCGTTCGGCCACGGAAGCACTGAGGCAAGGACTTCCTGTTACATATTTTAATAATGATATGTATAAAACAATTGCAATAGAATACCAATTTATTGACGATAAACAACCATTTACCTCCGAGCTTTATATAACTTCAAAGAACAATTTATATTTAAGGTTCATTATCTACAAGCGGAGCGCCGAAGAGCTTTGTTTCATCAACTAATAGAATTTCGTGATTTTGACATCTCCACTTCGCTTATTCAAAATAAAGAGGTTGGTGAAACACAGCTCTTCTCTGTTCTGCTTTTATAGATAATGGGCCTTACTGTTTTCACTTAGCCAAGGCGCAGTCCTTATTCAATTTCATGCACGCCATGGATCAGCATCAATAACGGGAAATTCACCCCGTAATCCTGCCCCGACGAGCGAGATTCCTAAACATCTTCGCCCTGTCTTATGATGAAATACAGTAAATGGCTCGATAAATAATAAAAGTATGCATTACTTTCTGCCTCAGTTGCACATTGCTTACAGGTAAATCATAAACGGGGAATTCACACAGTCAAAATAATGATAAATGGACTATGTTTTTGTTTGTTAATTTGAGAATAAACCCTGTTAAACGGTCGATTCAACCATAGTATGATAAGTTATGTATAGTATATATATTCATACCAACGTATCAGTGTGGCTTGTACGTGTGTACGCCCGCCGCGCGTCGTGTATGAACAAATCTATAGCAAGATTCCGTTGATATACAAAATTTGCCATTCACGAGGTTTAAAACTATAGTGAAACAAAAACTTTATACTAAAGGCTATAATGCGTACCTATGAAATAAATATTATTTTGATTTTCAACGTACACATTTGCATAATAAAGAAACACGCGTGAGACGACTAGTGCTATGCAACGCGTGTGCATCACGAGATTATGAAAATACCAATTTTATATTTACACCATTAGAATCTGCATGAAATGTACTAATTTTTTTGCTATACCTTTCCGTAGTACATTTTATTTTGGCGAGTTTTTCTTGAAAACAAAGTTTGTTTATTGTGAACAGAACATTGTTCACTAAAGGGCTATTTGCAATTGAGATATGCTAGCTCATTTTATGAAAAGAGTTTTGTCGAAAATATACACATCTCAAAAAGATAATGCAAAAAAAAACACTTGAAATGTCCTTGTGGATATTTGTTTGTGATTTTTTAGGAATGCGCTTAGTTTTCTGTAATACACATCAAAAGTTGAATAACTTTTGAACCATCAATTCCCGGACTTCAATGTAGTAGTCAAATCGATTGGAAATACTCAACCCTACCTCATCATTTCGTTTTGACCATCACTTCCGGCCTTCTCTGTATACTATGATTCAGCCGAAATCATAGGCAATTTTGAAACTATAAAAAAGAAATCTACTAAACACCGTGACGACTATAAACTTCGAAAATAGCAGAATAGTCAAGAAAAGTACAAACAATGACGGTGAAACGGTCCTGGCAAAACTCGGAGTTGATTTTTTCCAATTCTTTTCTGTATTCTCAGCGGGACATTCCGTGAATGTCGAGGACAATATTTGTATTACATGCGACTGTTTGGGAGTCCCACCGTGTTTTATTGCTAAGTTGAAAGCCCGTCCAACTTCTGCTTCCTATTGATCTTGGTGAGGGCAAGAGCAATATTATTGACAAGCTATTACATACATGATGAATGGTTTCAGACTGCGTCAAATAAAACCGACCATGAGCTTTTTGGGATACGCCTAAGATACAGTTCCGTGTCGTTATGTAATTTTACTTTAATCACAATTTTTTTAGCTTTATTTTGTATACACTTATCTTTATTGTTTAATTAAAATAAAATATAAATTTTCATAATCAAAGGCTTACTTACAGTGGCAAAGTCATTCGCGTTTTACTTGCCGCGAAATGTTAACACCCTACAATGCGAGGACACCGTAACAATTACTTTAACAATGAATATCTCGAGATGGAAGCATTGACTTACAAACAATTATAGATGGGAGCATTAAACATATGAGTCCCATGACGTCTCAGTTGCACTGTGAAGGACCCGTTTAACAACACCCTACTAAAATGTGGTAGATGTGAATTCTTTTTTGGTTAATGGACCCCCATTAACCAAAAAAGACCTTAAAAAAATGTTTATTAAAATTTTGTTTATTTTTGGGTCATCATTATAAGGTGCAAAACACACTGGCTCTGTAAAGATTACAGAGGTTCATACAAAGTACAGGGAAGTTCTGCCACCTAGCCTATTTCCGCGGTGTAATTACGTTTGGGTGTTTCTGCACCAAAATTCATTACACACAGTCCATAAACCAGCAAGTAAAAGATCTGTGGTATACAGGCACAAGAACGTATACATAGACAAACTTGACGAAATAACAAATTCTTCACGGTCGATTGCCACTCGAAATGCACTTGCACATGCCATGACGCGTTTGTAGACATGTGTGCATCATTGTGAAACCAGCTGCACGTATCTTAGACATGTGGAAATATAAATATAGTACAAATAAATGGCTTACGCAAGTATGCTCGCGGTGAATATCAACCGAAAATCGTCGTATAATCGGATTACAACAGGATAAGAAGGCAATTAGTTCAAATTCGCAGTATCAGTTTGATCCAGTCTATTTAAAAAAATATCTATTGATCTGAATCTGATGTTGATAATCTAAAAGATTTTTATTATAAACTGACATCAATATAATAGCCCGGTCGCACTCTTGTTAGGTCCCAGTTATCTTTCCCATCCTTCAATTCCAGTTTGTATTCTCTCTTTTCCCCATTCACTATTCATGCGGCCAGACTTCGCATGGCACTTCCTGTTACTGTTCACGGAAGTAAATCTTTAACTATTTTCATAATTAGAGTTAAGGAACATTATTGCTCTACTATTCCATTCATATCTTAAGTATTATATAACGAAATAAGTACTTATTTATCTAAGTATTTACATAGTTTATAACATTTTGATGTTATTATAATTATTTTTGTATTACATAATTTTTAGTATTTAAGTCTGCAGGAAGAAACTTCTTTCAAAATTAAGCACAAGCTTTTGTTTGTATTTTTTTCCTTATATTAATTGTGATTTGTGTATTTTTGCCTGTACAATAGTAAACTATTAAATAAATCAATGAAAGGAGTGTTTGTGATTAAAATAGTAAATTATTGCAGAGGCCGGGAAATAAGGGATTGCTCGACGAGTATGAGTTACAAGGACACGAGGCAGGGAGGCCTTGTATTAGTATGAGTTAAGAAATCCCCGTTCCCACAGAGGTGTGTATAGTATTTTTCTCAAACAAGGTGAGGAAATAATAATTTTTATTATTATTTTTTTTTTTTTTTATAACGCACACACTCAACATAGCCCCGCACTAGGGAAACCCTGTGTCGCGGGTGCCATGGACACACACATAGACAACCACAAATTACACCCAAACTCACGAGAGAAATAAATGTAAGCCATACAAACATTTCTCCCGGCCCGGGAATCGAACCTGGGACCTCTGCGTGACAGTCCGGCATGGTAACCGTTCGGCCACGGAGGCAGTTTTAGCAAGATTAAAAAACACTGTAAAAGATCAGTGGCTACTTTTAGTTTACAGTACATATTTTAGCATAGTGACTTTTCTTTCAGAAGCCATAACTTTTAAGCAAATTTTTTAAATTTTTAATAATAAACTCATTTACAAAATACTATTTCCCCGTATTGTAGACGTAGCAGATGGATTTTCGTAGATCTGCTACGACGGTTGCTACGAATCCATTTAAATCCGATGCCGATCAAGTACATGTTCTATTTATATAGACTATGATTGCTCAAGTGTAAACTAAAGCAAATACGGAGGGATACGGTGGCAGAAAGAGGTACGGCGAGGGGAGTGGGGTTTAAAATCGGCTTATGCAGTATTAGACGTCGCGACGCTTCGTATGAGTCGCCCCTCCAGCTAAATATGTTAAGACTATTTCTGTATAATATGTTCATAGATTTGGTTTCCTGAAACTTGATATTTCTTTAACGGTACTAATTTGTATAAGGATTTTTTTTTACCTGAGCCTAATTGAAAATTCATCATACATATATTGACCATGTTGTAGCGTACTATACTTTGTGTCGATCATTACTGAGATATATGTATGTTTAAAATCTCCAAAAATCTGCCAAAAAATATTCGTATCCTTAACATAATAAAGTCATACGTGATACGTCAAAAGTGCTTGTATAAAATGAAAGTCATAAAAATAATACGAAGTAGGTATATGAAAAAATATGTATATTTGTAATTTTATTACTCCCATATTTAGGTAAGAATAAAAAAGTTATCGACAAATTTAGGTCGTAGTACCTTCAAATATCCTGAAAAGTTGTCACTTTGCAGATGTGCCCTTATTACACCAAGCGTGGGAATTAGTGCCGTGATTAAAAAACTCTTGATAAATTATTATGTGACGGTAAACGATATCATTAAAATTTTATCTATTAAAAATACAGGAGACATTTAAGATTTTTATTTTAATTCAATACAGATAATCAAAAGTCAGGCCAACTGTCAAAATATGAATAAAGAAGGCAATAATGCAATTAGTAATTTTATATTCTTTTACAATCTATCGGTAAAATTGTCGACAACAACAACATGACTATTTGTAATTTTATGAAAACTGGCAACCCTGCGAATGCCTTTTTACTCCGTCTTCAAAAAAGACAGAGCATAGCAAACGGAAAAATAGCAGAAGACGGAAGGCGTACTGATCACACTAAATATAATGTGTTTTTGTCTTAGGTCCAGAGGCAGCGGGAAAGGAGATCACCATTCTAGGGAAATTGAAGTCTTGAAAGCAAGTAAGTACTGTTTCATATTCAACTAAACTCACATTGTCCAGGAGAGGTTGATCGTAACGAACCTTTTGCTGTAAAACTACAAGTGAAACTTGTGAAATTACAGGCACATAGACTTGTCGACTTATGTCTCAGGGTAACGGGCGTAGAGCCTCTCAGATCTTTGCGACTTAAAGCTCTGAACGGCACTGTAACTATTATGGACAGGGGTATCGGTAACTACTATCTATCATAAAAAAACTCTACACGGATGGTTTTAAAATGCATTTTTTACATAGTAAAACTAATTTTTTAACTAGTAAAAGAGCACAGGAAGTAAAAACAAAAAGAAAATATGACTAAACATAGCTTATCAATTGCCTTGGCTAGAAGGCTATTCGGGAAGAGCTGTTATTTATATGTGTGGCGCACTATAAGTTTCCGTTAAATGAATTGATTGTTTCTCAAAATCTTCTCTGTTAGCGTTAATGCACTTTTTCATACGAATGAACCAATTTTGAAAACATTTATACCACTCCTCCTTGACAATCTCTGAAACATATTTATCATACTCCTCTACAGCCTCTTCAGGTGATGAAAATCGTTGACCGCGTAACTCGTTCTTAATTTTTGGAAATAAATAAAAGTCACAAGGTGCTAGGTCGGGACTGTACGCGGAATGGCTTATTAGGTCAACGTTGTTCACCTTAAAAAATCCATTTGTCTGTCTGGCCGTGTGAGACCTGGCATTATCGTGGCGCAAGATGATACGGCGTTTACGTTTATTTTTACGGAGTTTATCAATAACTTCCGGCAAACAAATGGTCATGTACCAATCAGTATTCAATGTACAACGATTCTCCAAAGCAACAGTGGCCACGTGTCCAGTTTTATTAAAAAAAGAAGCAATCATCCGCTTAGGGGCACTTTGCACGCGCGCCACTCTAGTTGGCTTCGGCTCATCTTGAAAGATCCATACGCTCGATTGCTGCTTTGTTTTGGGATCGTAACTATAAATCCATGTTTCGTCACCTCTTACTATCTCCCACACCAAATTTGACGCCACTTCGTTGAATCTGGTAAGCATGGCATTACACCAAATGACGCGATCCGTTTTTTGAGCCTCAGTCAAATTGTGTGGGATCCACCGAGAGCACAGCTTTTTCATACCCAAATGTTTGTGTAGTATTGATAAAATAAAGATGCCCGAATCTCATGGTATGTCACATGCCTGTCTGTTTTGATCATACGGCGCACAGCATCGATGTTTTTGTTGTTCACAGCAGTGGATGGTCGCCCCATCACGAAATTCGTCACTGAAATTCACATGACCGCGTTTGAATTCTGCAAACCTGCTAGAAATAGTCGTCTTGCATGGTGCTTCATCGCCAAAAGCAGGTTGAAGCCGAGCGAAGCTCCGCTGAGCTGTTAAATAACGCTTAAAGTCGCAGAAAATCATACTACGAAAATTTTCACGAGTTAAATCCATGGTGATGTAGACAACCAACTTCTAAAATGACGCCACAATGTAAAAACAAGTAACAGCCAGATGAAACAAACTGAATTCTACAGCCAAAGAGGATGTTCAAATGTTCTAATTACTTTTTAAATATTGTTTATGTAAGTGGCCAGTTCCGGAAACTTATAGTGCGCCATATGTAAGAACAATAATAATTTGCCTTATTATTGCCTTATATTATATCCTACTAGTATCTCGTAGGGAAAAATAATATATCCACACTAGTATATACCCTGAACTTTAAACATCTTCGCTCAACCAACTCGCTTCCGTAAATAAAGACTTGCGACACCTCACAGAGGCAGAATACAAAATAACTTTCGCCGTAATAATGAAACATTATCCTTTTCATTCAAGTATAAAATTTCTTACATTGCAATTTATTCTCGACGTTATTTTAAAAGACCGAAGTTGCTGATTCGAGAAAATATACTTATAAATTGTCTGGTAGGTAGGAGCCTTAGGGTGCTAACAGATGGATGGCACGTCGGCAGTTAATGCGTGCTGCCGTGACTTTGATATTCGAACAAAAGTCCAAGTATCAAAAGCAGCAATTGATATTCTTCATTCGAACTTAAATTGTCGAGCTCGGAAGGCGGTCAAATTGAAGTGGAACTAGACTGGTCATGTCTGCCACATGAGTGGAAGCTCCACAACTCAAGTCGGTAATGGCGGGCTGACTTAGCCTCCTTTGTTTTGTTGCCCAAAACCGGGATCAATGGAAAAAGAGGGTGGAGCGGTTACCTACCTGTAGTCCGAAATGACATTTTCCAGAAATGACGTTTGGTAGAACTTTCATAACCTCGAAAGTAATTTTGAAAGGAAAATGTTTTTTTTTCTTTTAAACCGAACTTAACCGAACCTAATCGTGTCTTTGGGATAAACATTCAACATATCCTGAAAGAACAACTGTTTCGTTATAATTCGGGTTTCGGTGTAATGAAAATTGAACAAACGTTATTTCGGAAAAAAAGTTTTCAAGTTTGTGATAGTTTACCGGTGGAAGCCTTTGCCCAATAGTTGACCAGAACAGCCTGTTAAGAAGGATATATGATTTTTTTGTCTTTGAAACAATTTAATTTTTTTAGTAACAACGATAGGTAACGATTACTTGAGGGTTTCAACATAAAGCAAAAGAAATAACCCGATTGACGAAACTTTTCTCAACTGATTTATTTCACATTTGCACAGTTCTTAATTTTTTTTTCGTACTGGTATTTTTGTGTACATTTTTGATCGCAAATTGAAATTATGAGTTTGTTTTAAAAATTGAAATTCGTTAGGATTTCAATTGTGATATGTCTATTGCCTTGATTAAAAGTAAATCAGCATTTGGAATCATAAATGTTCTGAATACTGCTAATCTTCAAATAATATCTGTGTTTCCATTTCGACATCAACAAATGCAGTATCTATTGCAGCAGTCGGTTTATAGCAACTTCGCGCATGCAGTCCATGTGGTAGTAGCCTTAGCAGTAAACTGGCGTAGCGTTCAAATCTACAAAGTATTTGCAGACCCGTTGACAATCTAACTTTCAACCGAGATTACCAAACTCTCAAGACTGAACCAATAACGCGTTATTTATCAAGAGCAAACTTCGTGCCTTATATAAGAATTGCTTATTCTTTCTATTGATTTGGCTAATTTTCTCTGGCAATACTTATTTTACTAAACAAGAATAGTGACGACTCTTGTTCTCTCTAACACTATTAATGGATGCCAGTGGGGATTTCTTAGTAGGGATTTGTGTAATTAACCATACCTACTTCATAAAAATGTGAAATAAATATCTACATAATAAATAGTAAAATTTTTCGTGCTTCGGGACAGGATAATGTGTTTAATTGGCCATACTGCCAGATCTTAGATTGTAATTTTTCTTCCGTAGTTTAATTTTACGACATTTTTTCGCGGGAAATCGTTATATCTTCACTGTGGCCATTTTTAAACTTTCTACGTATTAAGAAAATATTGTTGTTTTGTTTTTTAAAAAAGCAAAGGTTTAACACCATACAGCCAAGTCTTTGTAATTTTTTCTTTTGCTAGTTTTAGGTAAATAAGTATAACCAAGTTTTCAGTCCATTATATTTTATCGGCATTAAGCCTCGTCGTCTGAGGGTATTTACTGACAGTTCTTTTTCTTTAAATTTTTTTGTTATCTAAAAACATAAGTGCGCATTTGACTTGGAAAATAACAAATTATTCAAGCCATCTCACGGGTCATTTAACGTTTACGCCAACTTCCTTACAATATACCTACAAGTGACGATCCATTTTTAAAATTAAGCCTTAGTTCACATTTCAACTTGCATTCAGTGTCATAATCTACTTTTATTATCTGATGGAAGCGATCCAACTCTTTAGTTTCTGGAATTGGTATTATAAGGCGTTTCCTTAAAATAAACAGGACAATAACTTAAGCAAATAAAGTCGTTACTCTCAAGTCATCGCTCTGTAAACTCCTGAAGTAAAAGTAGTGAGTACAAACTGCCGCAGTATCGTAAACATCAACCGCCGTAGCTCTGCTTTACACGCATTTCAACGATAATACAGAAAAATTTATTAAACCAAACATTTATTACCTGACTACTAAAGTATGACGCATGCTTTATGACCTAAAGCTGTTATTTTTATAAGTTTTTAGAATTACATAAGATTTTAGAATTTGCCAAAACCAAGTTTCGTGGGCAATCTATTTCAACTGAAACTATTGAACCAGTAAAATGTCACTTGAAATATTATCCTTATAGGTACGGTTACAGCGTTCTAATTCCGATTTGTATGTAGATATATGTTTCAATCTAATGTTAAACTTATGTCTGTACTAGGAAATGAAACTATTAACCAACTTTAAAAAAGAGGAGGTTCTCAATTCGCCTTTTGTGTTACGTTACGCTACGTACCTACGTACTTTATGTTACGCGATTGCTCTAGGTATTTGTGAACCGATTTGGATGATTCTTTTTTTGTTGGTAAGAGGATACCTCAGTACTGCAGCTTGATTTTGATTGCCTCTCCTGATCGGAAACGGCGTCTTTTCCGAGTCGAGGCGTATATATTGCGGATGGACTACCCGATCGGACCCATTCCGATTTGAATTAAGATCAGGGCACTGGTCCCACTTTTTACGCTCATTCTGGTAACCGGTTGCAATTAAACTTATTATCAAATAGATGTAATAATTCCACGAACTTTTTAGGTCTGTTTAAATTTGAAGAAAATAGTCTAATAGTATTAAGGGCGTTTACGCACTGCATCCGGTTCGTATTCATGTAGAATCCGAGATCATACAAATCTAGAAAACTCGGACTCACTTCGTATGTCGCGTGTGCACTATCCGAGAAATTACGAATATCGCTTTTTATACACCTGGAGATAAAATGATCCCTGTGACATTTCGGACCGTCATTTCTCGGATTCGCAACTGATACGAACCGGACGTAGTGCGCAAGCGCTCTAAGGGTGGCAAATTAGAGGATGAACCAGGTTTATTGGATTTCAGCA